AGCAGTCCACCATCTCCCACTGCTGGGATCAAGAGGGCTTGCTCTCTGCAGTTTACAAGTTTATGGATCTAAACCAAAACCACAAGTCTGCTCTGGTTTCCCTGTGCCTGAGTAGGACAGTCACAAAGAACAGCCCGGGGCTCGTTCTTTGTGTTGAAACATTTTCCATGAAAGTATTTTTTTTCTCTTTCTTGAAGGTCAGGATATTCCAAATCAGTGAATCACTTTTATATATAAAATGGAATGGATGGGGTGATAACAGAGAAAATGATAGAGTAAGAAACCCGCCAAATCTTCTCCATAAAAGCACAAGAACACTAGCAAAACGCATCAGAATCTACCACCTTGTGCTATTTTACATGCCAGAATGCTCGTCTTACAGAACACCAACCCAAACTAAAAGAAAATTATTATTGTTTTTTTGTTTTGTTTTGCTTTTGAGACAGGGGTCTCATGATTCTGCCCAGGCTGGTTTTGAATTCTTGGACTCAAGCAATTCTCTGTCCTAACTTTTTGGGTAGCTGGGACTACAGGCCTGTGCCACCATGCCCAGCTCAAAGTAGATAAATAAATAAAATTATTCTTAATTGTGTTTTCCAGTACCTGGATCTCCAAAATCCAGATCTCTGGTGCAGTCTCCCCAGAAACCAAACCTCTGTCTCCCATAGGGAGGTGGGAAGGGAAGTAGCCTAGCAGCTGGAGCCAAGGTGGGGTTAGGACGTGCAGTGAAACTGGTCTGCAGACCTCCTGCTGCCAGCCCCCTACCACCTACAGGTGCCCAGTGCCTCAGATTCCTCAGTTTTTTCATCAGCAGGCTGGTGTTCCACAGAATCCAGGAAAAGTTCAGAAGACTTCACCAGAGAGCTGGACTCGGAGACACACTGTGAGTACAGGGGCATTGCAACACAGCGAACTTCTGCACATGAATGGTGAGCTCCCAGGCTCCTTCCCCCACTCAGCACCCAGATCACTGGTGACTGGCTTACACCCCAGGGGAGACCCACGAGTCCTTCTGAAGCAACTGAAGTGTCCTAAAGACCTTCAGGTACAGACATCCATGGACCACCAAAGGAAAAGCCAGATGGTCATCCCATCCGTTCCCCTGAAACTCACCTGCCGATAATCCCCACCTGTATTTATTTCTTATGGCTGTTGTAACTAATGACTATCCATTTGATGGCTTAAAACCACAGTCTCAAAACCTGTCATAGTTCTGGAGGATGATGTCTGAAGTCGGTTTCACTGGGCTAAAGCTGAGACATCAGCAGGACCAGGCTCACTCAGGAGACTCTGGAAGATTCTATCTCATGCCTCTTCCAGCTTCTGTGGCTGCCAACATTTCTTGGCTTGTAGCTACACCATGGCAATCTCCGATTCTATATTTGTACTGCCTGCTGTGCACACGCGTGTGTGACATCTCCCCATCTCTCTTAAAAAGACCCTTGTGATTGCATTTAGACCCCACCCAGATAATCCAGGATAATCTCCCCATCTCAGAATCTTTAACTGAATGACATCTGCAAAATCTTTGCCATCTGAGGTAACACTTATAGGATCTAGGAATTAGGCCATGGGTACATATTTGGGGGCCATTACCTAGCCTACCACACCACCTGCATATAGTTTCCACTAAGCTTTTTAGTTTTTCACACGGAAATATTGAAATAAAAAGGTTTTTTTCCCCACCTTTATTGGATATCTGAATTTCTTAATATGAATTCTCTACTCCTGGCCATTGAAGTTTTTCCTATAGATTGTTAAGGGAGTTTTATAGATAAAGCCATTCACCCTTTATCTACCTTTTTTTTTTCTTTCCTGTTTTGTTTTTTTTTGTGATGCTTGGGCCTACGCTGTACCACTGAGTCACTCCACCTGCTATCTGCCAAGTGAAAATACATTTCCTAATTTGCATCCGCCTATTTACTTTGCTTACAGTTTGTTTCCTGATATAGAAGAAATTTTAAATATTCTGAAGTCAAATGTGATATTTCCTTTCCTTTGAAATTTCTTTCATTGCTACTATCTCAGAAAGTCTGACTTACCCTTAGATATATATTCACATATTTTCTCCTGGTTTATGATTTTCAAAAGTATCTGATTCTTTAATCAGTATGAAGCTTATCTTAATATATAGTATGAAGAGTATAACTTATTTTTTTCTACTTAATCAGTTTTTCAAAATATTTTTTTAGTTGTAGATGGACACCATATCTTTATTTTATTTATTTGTTTTTTTAATGTGGTGCTGATGATCAAACCTAATGCCTCACATGTGCTAGGCAAGAGCTTTACCACTGAGCTTAATCAGTTTTTTAGCATAAAACATTTTCCCCTTTTTCTACTGACTTGTCATATCAACCAAGCATAAAAATCTTGAATATTCTAGGGTTTGTTTCTGAGCTCTGTTCAGTTACCTCAATTTCTTTGTCAAATGTTTACTTTCTGGTCTTTTTGGATCCCAAGTTTGTAATTTAACTATAGTCCATCAAACTACCCTAAAATAATGTTTTATTTTTCACTTTCAGATTGCTTATATCCTGTTCATTTTTTGATATCCTATTGATTAATTCCTTATCTAAAAAATCTCATTTTTATCATAACTCATGTACATGCATTTGGAAATGTTTTTTGGGGGGAGGACCAGGGACACTTAATCACTGAGCCACATCCATATCCCCTTTTTTATATATTATTAGAGACAGGGTCTTGCTGAGTTGTTTAGAGCCTCACTAAGTTGCTGAGACTGGCTTTGAACTTGCCATCCTCCTGCTTCAGCTTCCCGAGCTGCTGGGACTACAGGCATGCGCTACCTCACCCAGCTTGGAAATATTTTAAAACAGAAAGGTTATTTCATATTTTCAAAGAAAAGAGACTAGATATTCTTCCTCTCTATTGTTAATACAATGATGAACTGAACAACTCTGATGATTTTTTAATTACTTAAGTCAACAAAACACAGAGGCAGTCACTTTCTGGGAGCTAGGAATACGGGACAAGAGCTGATAGAAATCCCTGCCTTTGTGAAGCTTGCTATCCTTGTCCAGAAGACACATACAAACAGGATAGGTTAATTTTAAAAGGCAGTGTGTCAGACAGTGAGGAATGCTTTGGGGAAACAAGAAACCTAGGAAGGGGTGGTGGGAATCCTGAATAGGTGACTAGGGAAGACCTCCCGGTGAAGATGATTTGAGTCAAGACCTAAAGAAAGCAGAGGAGCTGATCTCTGGGGGGCCTTCTTGACCAAGGCTGCCCTCATCCTCTGAGCTTCCACAGAAATTTTAATATAAAAACAACATTAGCAGCCACCATGGGCTGAGCTCCTATTCTACGTCAGAGATGAGGCTGGGCTGCTTCTTTATAAAGACATTGCTGATCCTCATAATGATCCTGCAGACCCTGGGGGAGTTGAAGCTAGTTGCCTTGTCACATGTCCCCAAAACCTCCTTTTGTGTAGATCCCTGGAGGGTCTGCTCTATGCTTCTGACCTAGGTTCCTGCTTTTATTTTCCCACCAAGGAACCCCTGCATTAAAGAAGGAGCCAAAACCAAGTCTGAAGGAGGAACCACTGAAGAACATGTCCTACCAAAATGGTGGCCTATACCAAGAACTTTCCAAGAGAATAGTGAAGGCATGTCCCAAGGGCGCCGTGCATCAAACTAGAATGTATTCGGTTCCATGGGGCATAGTGGAGCAGGCCTGTAAGGGCATAGTGGAGCAGCTGGGGAGACTGAGAAGGAAGCATCACAAGTTCAAGGCCAGCCTTAGCAATTCAGTGAGACCGAATGTTAAAAATACAATGTTTTGAACAACCCACAATAAAAAATTAAAAAAAAATACAAAATATAAAGGACTAGGGATGTATTTCAGTTGGTAATTACCCCTTGGTACAATCCCCAGTACATTTTAAAAGCAACCAGCTCAGATTGCAGGATGATGACAGAATATTCCAGGAGGGATATCTCCAAAGGAGAAAAAACAGAAGAGCAACTGATAAATTATCTGATGCATATCATCATTCCTGAGAATTTATAGTTCTCTTGAGAACTTGGGTCTTTAACAAACCAAGCAAACCAAAGTAAAGTGTGTGTGTGTGTGTGTGTGTGTGTGTACACAGTTCTTGGAATTGAATCTAGGGCCTCTTGCATGTTAGGCAAGTACTATACCATTGAGCTACATCTCTAGACCAAGTAAATAAAGCCATGAATTCCAAGAAAATAAAAAGTTCAAGAAATTCAATTTAATATACTATGTAGGTCCACAGGAAGTAAAATCAAAATGTATCAGATATAAAAATTGTGATATCTGTGGGAAAGATTTGAGAGTAGTTGGCTTATATTCCATGCAGAAAATTAAGAAATAAAGCCTCAAATTCAAGAGAATAAAGTAGTAGTTGTATAACATTGTCATTTGAAAATATGGATGAAAATACCAGGAGTAATGGCTAATAGTTGAAGGTGGCTGCCCTCAAAAGATGGAATGGGTGGTAGGAGGCAGAGCGGAGGACTGCCATGTGTGATATCTATGGTACCAACTGACATTTAACCATGAACTGGTATTGTGTTGGTGATGATAGCAAAAATATTTTAAGGGTCTGGGGATATATAGCTCAGTGGTAGAACACTTACCTAGCATGTGCAAGGCCCTGGGTTCAATCCCACCACCACAAAAATAGATAAACAAAATTAAGAAATCATGTTTGATCCTTTTTTGTTTGTTTGTTTTTTCAGTCTGATGGCTACTGAGGCACCATGTTGTACAGTATATATCTTGAACTTCAGAAAGTTAAGGGACTGGACATTTTCTTCTGTAATTTGCCATGAATGGGTTATTTACATTGAAATTCCCAGTGTATTTTCAGATGTACTTAAAGTATAACTTAAAGTAATTGTATTAATCATTCATGTCTTATGACAATGAGCAAAATGTTAATATATTAAAAGGAATCACTGTATATTTAAACATCAAATTCATCATGTATTAATTGTCTGCATTATACTTACAGGAGTAAAGTAGATTGTTGGGAATCTTTGAACTGTAGAACGAAATACAAAGCTCCTGTATTTAAAAAAAAAAGAAGAAGAAAAAAATGGTTTTCTAAATCTATTTTCTTTTTTTGGTACTGGGTATTAGACCTAGGGTGCTCAACCACTAAGCCACATGCTCAATCTTTTTGTTGTTGTTGTTTTTGTTTTGAGACAGGGTCTCACTAAGTTGCTGTGGTTGGCCTCAAACTTGTGATTCTCCTGCTTCAGCCTCCCAAGTTGCTGGGAATTACAGGTGTGCTCCAACTCACCAGCTTCTAAATTTCTTTCTTTTTTTTTTTAAAGAGAGAGAGAGAGAGAGAAATTTTTTTAATATTTATTTTTTAGTTTTTGGTGGACACAACATCTTTGTTTGTATGTGGTGCTGAGGATCGAACCCGGGCCTCACGCATGCCAGGCAAGCGCGCTACCGCTTGAGCCACATCCCCAACCCTAAATTTATTTCTAAAGTGAAGGTCTTTGTTAACTTATTCCCTATGTATCATTTAATATTTAAAAATGCTAATCTGAATATGAGGTGCATAAATGAAGTTTAAATCATAAGTATTGGTATGTAAATATGTATGTAAATAGGCATGAATGAAATGATTAAAAGCAACTTCATTGATTACCTGGAAGCGTACTTGGGAACTGGTGTAGGAAGAATCTCATACTGCCCTGGGTAAAGATGGAGTGACTACATGGAAGGAACAAGGACACAATAATAGATTAATAGAGGTTGTAAACTCACTTGATTATCTCTTATTCAATAATCCTTTATTTTATGACCACTCAACATTTCATCATTTATTCTCTGCTTTAATAGTAGGAAAGGTATACCTTTCCAAAGGTTGAGCTCCCAAACATTCATTATGTATTCATTTTCCATGGTGAATTTTATAGACAATCTGCCTGAGATGTTGCATGGGAAAATGCTGCCTCATTAATCACATTTTGAATTGCTAGAGTCAAAAAATCACTTGGACCATTTATTACTGGGCTGGTGGTGGGAAATACAGTGGTGAGAGAGAGACATGGCCCCTGACAGCAGGGGTGAGAGGCACCTTCAGGAATGATTCTAACACTGTAGTCAATGCTGAAATAGATTGACAACCAGGGCAGGGATGGGGGCGGAGAGTAAACCCAACAGGGTGATCTAAAGACAGCAAAGAAGAGGAGATTTGAGGGGGTTCCCTGGCTCAAGCCGAGCCAGGAGGGATTTCAAGAAGAGCCTTCCATGTGAAACTGTCTTTCTGCCCTATGTCAAAATAGCTGCAGACTATCTAGGTGGCTCCGTTGTCCCTTTATCTGTGGATGCCCAGAGGATGAGGAGCAAGGGAGTTCATGAGGGAGAAGAGGATATGTGAAGGGAGGAAGGCGGAGAGGAAGGAGAATGAGGAACAGGAGGGAACAAGGGCAGGAGCTCAGGACTCTGTCGAAGGAGCCGCCAGGCAGGAGCTGGATCAGAAACTCCTCGGGAGGCTGAGGAGAACCATCTCCCTCCACCTCCTAGTATTTTTTATATAGAATTTTGAGAAATGATGCTGCCTTTGTTGAAAATGAAGCATCCTCATCCTGGCCTAGCTGTCACCTGGAAGTTCAGCTATTATATTTCACCCTGCAGCTGTCTTTCCCATGATAGCACACAATTTTGATTGCAGAGGCAGCTTTTTGTGATACAGTGATAACAGTATATATGAATTTATGATGAAATACACATGCTGTCCCGAAGCACCTGTGCTTTATTAATTGCCCACTTGACATAATAAATACAGAGGAAACAAAGGGATTGCATCATACTGCAGAAGCAGAGAAACAAATTTTAAGCAAAAGGCTTTCCTGGGGGCCAACAATGTCCTATTTCTTGATTTTGGATATGGTTCATGCATGTTTTCTATTTACCTTAAACTGTGCTTGCATGTGTATGTGCTCTCTCTCTCTCTCTCTCTCTCTCTCTCTCTCTCTCTCTCTCTCTCCCTACACACACACACACACACACACACGGAGAAAGAAGAGAGAGAATTGAAAAGGAAGGACCCTTAAAAAGCAAGGTGCTCCATTCATCTATTGAAGGGCATCTAGGTTGGTTCCACAGTTTAGCTATTGTGAATTGAGCTGCTATAAACATTGATGTGGCTGCATCACTGTAGTGTGCTGTTTTTAAGTCCCTTGGGTATAAAATGAGGAATGGGATAGCTGGGTGAAATGGTGGTTCCATTCCAAGTTTTCTAAAGAATCTCCATACTGCTTTCCAGATTGGCTGCACCAATTTGCAGCAATTTAAGAGTGTGCCTTTTCCCCCACATCCTTGCCAACACTTATTGTTGCTTGCATTCTTAATAACTGTCATTCTGACTGGAGTGAGATGAAATCTTAGTGTAGTTTTGACTTGCATTTCTCTAATTGCTAGAGATGTTGAATATTTTTTCATATATTTGTTAATTGATTGTGTATCTTCTTCTGAGAAGTATCTGTTCAGTTCCTTGGCCCATTTATTAATTGGGTTATTTGTTTTTTTAGTGTTAAGTTTTTTGATTTCTTTATATATCCTGGAGATTAGTGCTCTATCTAATGTGCATGTGGTAAAAATTTGCTCCCATTCTGTAGGCTCTCTATTCACCTCACTGATTGTTTCTTTTGCTGAGAAGAAGCTTTTCAGTTTGAAACGATCCTATTATTGATTCTTGATTTTATTTCTTGTGCTTTAGGAGTCTTGTTAAGGAAGAAGGGGCCTAATCCAACATAATGAATATTTAGGCCTACTTTTTCTTCTATTAGGCTCAGGGTCTCTAGTCTAATTCCTAGGTCCTTGACCCACTTTGAGTTGAGTTGTATGCATGGTGAGAGATAGGGGTTTAATTCATTTTGCTACATATGGATTTCTAGTTTTCCTAGCACCATTTGTTGAAGAGGCTATCTTTTCTCTGTGGTATATATACACAATGGAATATTACTCAGCATTAAAAGAGAATAAATCATGGCATTTGCAGGTAAATGGATGTATTTGAAGAATATCATGCTAAGTGAAGTAAGTCAATCCCCCAAAACCAAAGGCTGAATGTTTTCTCTGATAAGTGGATGCTGATCCATAATGGAGGTTGGGTGGGGGGAGCATGGGAGGAATGGAGGAACTTTGGATAGGGCAAAGGGGAGGGGGAATGGGTAGGAAAGATGGTGGAATGAGACGGACAGACGGACACCATTACCCTAGGTACAAGTATGAAGACACAAATGGTGTGATGCTACTTTGTATACAACCAGAGAAATGAAAAATTGTGCTCCATTTGTGTACCATGAATTATAATGCATTTGGCTGTCATGTATAACAAATTAGAACAAATAAATAAATTAATTTAAAAGAACAAAAAAAGCAAGGTGCTTGCAGGGCGTGATGCTGCACACCTGTAATCCCAGCAACTTGGAAGGCTGAGGCAGGAGGATCGCAAGTTCAAAGCCAGTCTCAACAAGGGCAAGGTGCTAAGCAACTCAATGAGATCCATGTCTCTAAATAAAATATAAAATAGGGCTGCGGATATGGCTCAGTGGTTGAGTACTCTTGAGTTCAATCCCCAGTACCAAAAAAAAAAAAAAAGCAAGATGCTTATGGAAAGACTCAGTCTGGAAAAGAATATTGGTCACCTGTAGGGTCCTTATTTGTCCTGCTCTACTTGGCCTTGTCTACCCTTTGCAGTTGAACAGAACTAAAAGGATTGATTTAAGAGACTGACTTAAATTTCTCAATTCGTTACACACTTTGAGTGGTTCCATTGTTCATGGGTCTAATGGAACACACACGTGCACACACACACACACATGATTTTCTAATTCACACGTATGCTTCTCAGTTCTTCATTTTATAATGTATAATGTGAAGCTCATTGAATCTGTGCCCCGCAAAATATCTGATTCTAGCTAATTTATGTTTTAATTCATACTGATTAGACACTTGAAGATCTTTTAATTGTTGAAGATCATAAAATGTGGCAGGATAATATTAGTGTGACTATATATTCAGATATGTTGCACCAACAGCATCAATGTCACAAAAGAGGAATAAGGTGAAAAAAGGCTGACAGTACTTACTCCACTTGCCCCCCTCCCTGACATACTGGGGATTGAATGCAGGGACCCCAGGGCTTGGTGCATGCTAGGTAAACACTCTACGGCTGAGCTACATCTCCAGAATATTTTGAGACAGGGTCTTGCTAGTTCCGCTGGATGAACTTGAATTAGTGATCCTCCTGCCTCAGCCTCCTAAATAGCTGGTATTATAGAAAATTACCACCACTCCTGGCTCCTGAGGGATTTATTTTTTTAATGGTATTCTGTTTTAAACTTCAAATTCCACTTGTTCATTGCTGGTATATAGGTGAATAATTGACCTTTGAAGGAGTTTTTTTTTGGGGGGGGGGTATTATTTTGGATTATTTACATAGTCAATCATGTCATTTATGAATAGGGACAATATTTTTATTTTATTTTATATTTTTATTCCTTCCTTTTCTTGACATATTGCATTAGAGAGACATCCTTGCCTTGTCCCTCATCTCAGTAGGAAACCCTCTAGTTTCCTACCCTTATTGTTACCTATGATATTAGCTGTAGGGTTTTTTAAAAATAGATATTCTTTATGAGGTTGAGGAAGTTCCCTTATATTCCTAGTTTACTAAGAATTTTTTTTATCATGAATGGGTGTTGTTGATTTTGACAAATGCTTTTTCCACATCTACTGATATGCTTGCATGACTTTTCTTCTGTAGTAATTGATCAGATAGATTAGATTTCTTTATTTTTGAATATTGAACCAGCTTTTCATACTTGGAATAAATTCCACCTGGTTGTGATATGTAGTTACTTTTGTATTTTGTTGAGGATTTTTGTAACTATGTTCATGAAAGACATGGGAGTGGTTTGTAATTTTCTTTTCTCGTGATGTTTTTATCTGTTTTTGGTATAAGGGTGATGCAAGCCTCATAGAATGAGTTAGACAGGTCGTGCTCTATTTCTATCTTCTGGAAGGGATTATAAAGAATTAATATGATATCTTCCTTAAATGATTGGTAGAATTCATCTATAAACCCATGTGGGACTGACATTTTCTGTTTGGGAAGGTTGCTATTATTTCAATTTATTTAATAGCTATAGACCTATTCAGAATGTCTATTTCTTCTTGTATGAGTTTTGGCAGACTGTGTCTTTTAAGGACTTCGTTGGTCCATTTCATTTAGGTTATTAAATTTGTGGTCATAGTACTGTTCACAACATTCTTTTATCATCCTTTTAGTGTGTATGAGATTTAGTGATATCCCCTCTGTTCTAATATTAGTCATTTGTATCCTCCTTTTTTTCCCTTAGTTAATCTAGGTCAATTTTATCAATCTATTCAAGAAAACATTTATTTAATTGATTTTCTCTACTGCCATTTTTAATTTCATTGACTTATGCTCTAATTTTTATTTCTTCTGCTTACTTTGGATTTACTTAATTCTTCTTTTTCTATTTTCTTAAGGAGGAAACTTAGGTGCTTGATTGTCAATCTTCTTTTCTAATATAAGCATTCAACATTACCAGTTTCCCTTCTATGCTCTGACTTCACAATATCCCACATATTTTGTTGAAATGTGTTCTCATTTTTATTTAGTTCAAAGTATCATGTAATTGATCCACGTGTTATTTAGGAGCATGTTGCTTAGTATC